GCCGTTGCGGGGTCCACTTGTTACTTGTAAAGGTTAAGGCAGGCGGCTGCGGCAAGGGCGGCCAATCAAAGATTCAGGGGCAGACCCAAAACTCAACCAAGATACCAGGTTGGGTGAGGGCGGGTCTGGAACAAGATTTGTGGCGAGACCGCTATTCGCAAGGGGCTTGCATCAATTGGGGTGAGTATGACCATCAACAGCTCAGATGCAAGGACGCGAAGGTATCGCCGAAGATACCTCCCAAAGGTGGCTTTGGGAATTCCTAGGGTGGGGCTTCTACAAGCTCCAACTCGGGAAACACATCGGGCCACTAAAAGTTATAGCTGCTTCTACTTCTGATGAAGTGGGTGATGTACCTTCTCACTTCAAGAGTTGGCCGAAGCTATTGACTCTTTAATCACCCCACAGACGCATCCTGACCCAACGATAATCTGTTCGTTGGATGTGTTTGAGGCCTTAGAAGACTTGCAAAGTGAGTGGTCGGCAAGGGACCCTGGGGAGTCTTGGGTGGCGCAAAGTAGAGGTCCTAGAGGGGAGCACTTTGTTGTGGAAGTCGGTGTAGGTGGCTGTAAATGTGGTGCCTTCGTAGACATTGGCTCCATGAGAAACTTCATAAGTCGCGACTGTGTTGAAAGACCACGCCTAGGGGACCGGGTGCACCGCTTTGGTAGATCTGTAGCCTTTACCTTAGCCAACAAAGAGTGCATGGTTGTAGAGGACTATGTTAAGGACGTGGTCTCTGAATCACAAGATTTCGTTCTTAGTCAGCGACGACTTGCCTTTTGATATGTTGTTAGGTATGTACTACCTCAAGGTTGCAAAGCCCCAGTTTGACTGGGACTGAAAGGTACTTTAGCATGTACTACCGGAAGGGAGGACAGTTAAACTTGCCAAGTACAAAGCTAGCAGTCTGATAGACACTTACGTTTGTATGTGCGCATCTGCCTTCTATAATTATCATAAACAGAACCAAGAGGAAGGTATGTACTTAGTTTTTGTCTCTGAGAAAGGGGAGGATGTTAAAACACCCGCAGAGATAAAAAAAGTCGTTGCAAAGTACCATGATTTGTTTGAGGAGCCTTCAGGAGTTGTATGTAGGAGGTTGTCCATGCCATAGAGATAGTTCCGGGGAGCAAGATACCCAAAGGAAGGATCTATAGGATGGCACTGACCGAATTAGACGAACTCAACACGCCACAAATAGGATATTCCATGACTACTTAGATAAGTTCATCGTCGTGTACCTCGACGACATACTTATTTTTAGTAGAACAGTCAAGGAGCATGCTCAACATCTAGAGAATGTACTCTCACTCCTTCGACATCGCAAGTATAAGATTAACGTAGAAAAATGCGAGTTCGGTTGCACAAAAATCTTGTACTTGGGTCATGTGATATTCGCGGATGGGATAAGGCCTGAAGATGCCAAGGTGGCTAGCATTCGTGACTAGCCACGACCTTTGTCTGTGACCGGGGTCAGATCATTCTTAGGGATGACTGGCTACTACCGCAACTTCGTCAAAAACTATAGTACCGTGGCCAGCTCTTTGACTGATCTAACTCGCCTTGACACACCATGGGAATGGACTGACGAGTGTGAAGCTGCTTTCAAGCGATTGAAGAATGCTCTCGTGCATCATGGGGTTCTCATGGTTCGCGATCCTGAGAGGTCATTTGTCGTGACCACTGACGCAAGCCAATATGGCATTGGCGCAGTGCTGGCTCAGCAAGAAGGGAAGAAGTTGAGGCCGGTCGAGTACATGAGTAAAAAAATGCCATCAAAGAAATTGGCTAAGTCCACCTATGAAAGGGAACTCTATGCCCTCTACAAAGCACTTGTCCACTGGAGACACTATCTGTTGGGAAGGTTCTTCTATTTAAGGATTGACCATCAGACACTCAAGTGGATCAAGACACAGCGTGTTCTCTCTGTTGCACTCAAACGCTGGATTGAGGTCATAGATTAGTATGACTTCAAACTAGACTATCATAGATCAGTATGACTTCAAACTAGACTATGTGAAAGGAGAGTACAACAAGGTTGTTGATGCGATGTCATGTAGGGCAGACTACCTGGGTGCACTAATAGTTGTGTTTGACTTATCTGATGAGGTAACTCGATCGCTGATGGAAGCCTACAAGGAGGATCCTGTCACGATGGACATCATATGCAAACTTGAGGCCCAAGACAAGGCCACATCTGATGAGTTTGTGATGGTGGATGGGTTACTCTTCCTTGAGAAGGCAGGGTTTAAGAGGTTATTTGTTCCAGCTAGTGAGATTTTGGGTAGTTTATTTTTAGGAGAATGTCATGATGCAATGGGACATTTTGGCTACAAGAAGACTAGTGCAAATCTGGTACAACGATTTTGGTGACCTGGTATGCTAGACGAAGCTAAACAATACGTTTAGGCTTGTCCTTTCAGGATTGTCAAGTCTGTCAGCAGGACAAGCCGAGGACTCAGGCTCCGCTTGGGTTACTTAAGCCTTTACCCATTCCTGCTGGTCCGGGACAAAGTGTTTCCATGGATTTCATGGATACCCTCGTGAGCAGCAAGAGTGGCAAGAGGCAGGCACGTCTTTGCCATAGTTGATAGGTTTACTAAGCTCGCCAGACTGATTGCCATACCAGAGACCACAAGGACTGAGCACGTTATCAAGTTATTCATGGATAACTGGATGCACGACTTTGGACTGCCAAAGACTATCATTAGTGACAGAGATGTCCGATTCACAAGTAAAATGTGGAAGAAGGCTGCATAACAAATGGGCAGCCAACTCCATATGACTTTTGGGAATCATCCCGAAGCCAACGTGCAGGCTGAACAAATGAACCCAGTGGTGCAGCATTTGCTGAGGCATTACATAAAGCCCAGCGAAGATGACAAGGATGAGAAGTTACCTCTCATCGCCATCCTGTACAACAATGTTGTGTACAACACCACTGGCGTCGGTCCGAATCAGCTGCACTTGGGGTGGAAGCCTAGATCTGCTCTAGACTTCCTCCTGCCTGAAAACTGATCTGCTGCAACTCCTGGAACCATTGAATTTGGTGTCCAGTACGAGAAGTTGCTGCAGCAAGCTGTCCAACACATCAAGAAAACTCGAGAAGCAATGCTTGCTTCTGAGAACAAATATCATCGAGACTCCACGTTTCAGGTAGGGGAACGTGTCTGGGTTAAGTCTAGTGAGTTAGGGCAGGAATTCGGTATCTCTAGAAAACTAATGCCTCAATACTTTGGTCCTTGGGAAGTCTTAGATATTGTGGGTAGCGAGGAGGAGGGTCCCTCGTATGTGATTCGAATCCCTGGCCACCTACGCATCTACGCTGTGTTTCACACCTCAAAGCTTGCACCTTTCGCTGAGACACAACAGATTCCATCAAGAAAATCTATGCTTCCCCCAACCATGGATGGCCACGTGGACGTCGATGACATTTTGGAGCACAGAGACATGCCTGTTCCTGACCCTGTGGGCAGACGGAGACCGTCGAAACCCAAGAGAGAATACAGGGTCAGATTCAGGCATCATACGGATCCAAGAGAAGACCGATGGTTCACCAGAGAGGAACTAATGGAGACAGCACCTCAGATTGTGGCAGATTATGCAAGACGGTTGAAGGGGAAGGCACCTGCATAGAGGCATCTCAGCGGACTTTCAAAGCTAAGGGGGATGGAATGTGAGGACTGTGTCCTTAGGGGGCCCTAGGCAACATGCATATGTTCTGGATTGTGGCCCCCCAGCAAGCCTTGTGCCCGCCCTAAGTGAAGGCGGGCCTGAATGTTCACAAGAGGCCCTTATCTCAGCATTTTTCCAATGCGGGTCTCAGACAGTTGCTGCACGACAGTTGGTTGAAGTGCAACCTGAGCCTTACCCTGGGCTCTTCCAGGAGAGGTAACTGCGCCAGGCAGTTGAGCCCAGGGCCCGGGTGGTTGTGCCCCGGGCACACACACTGAGAGGCCGACACCTCACGAAGTGGCCACGGGACAACCAGAAAGCAGCATTGTCGTCGTATCTACCCCGTGGGCCAGTGCAAATGCAGCAAACATTCGGAGCCTGGGAAACTCTGGGTGTGCCTAACTGAAAAAGGCCCAGGCCCTCAACTGTCGAGATAGGCCTGGGCGCAGACACTGGGGCCCTACCAGAAGCTACTGGAAACTTCCAAGGCCAGGCCCAGGGAGTCCAGCAGCAGCTGCCACTTTCATATAGGAAATGAGCCAGCCAGGGAAGGCATTCTGATCTAGGCAGGCAATGCGGATACGCTGCTGCGTTCGCGTGCAAGTGTCTATATTGCGCACCTGCTGGCTGGGGGCGCGCGCGGGCGCTGAGAGGTGAGGGGCGCTAAGCGGGGCGCTGGCGGCCATAGCCGGGCTCCAGAGAGGAGGCACAGAAGTGGGTGGTCAGGGGGTGACGAGGGAGACGAGGATACGTACCTAGTGTATGTGGGAGGTCGGCATTAGTGTTGACGACGTGTACATTGGTCTTCAAAGTCGAAGTGAGCCTGTTGCATGAATGTAGATAGGCTAGGTAGGCAAGTAGAGTAGGCTGGGCGCTGGGCGCCAGACAGAGAGGAGCGACATTGAATACTGCGTTGATGTGGCCTGAGGGCTTGAACATAGGCTCACGGGTTCATGCATTGCTTTTATTTGGATGGGATCTTGGTGCATTTGAGCTCTTTGCTTGTACATGACTATCTAGACTTCTGTGTGACTTTGCAACTTGGTGTTCTGTATATCGCTCTCGCTCATATTTCTTTGCACTGCTGTCCCAAAAAATAAAAAATTTGGAATGATTCAGAGAAGATAAGCATGGCCCCTGCGCAAAGATGACACACATTAAAAAAAAAGAGGCATATCCACTTCAAAGGCACAGCAAATCGGCTGTGATGGTGGAGTTGCTGAACCCATGAGTGGGCTGGCTGGCTGGTGCAGAGTAGTATTCCCACGTTCACTTCTGATGAAGTTTACAATATGGTCCTTTTCTGAATGTCGCAGTGATGTGCCGCTCTGTTTTTGGAATGTTGTTTCTACGGCTCTTTTTGTGTTGATGTTTCTTGGGTGGGCTACTGCTGTCGATGATGGAGCAACTCGATTGCCAATTGATTCCACCAGGCATCTGGTTCACAGAGATGGAGATTACCACCAGGCGACCCATGTGTGGCTGTTTGCCGAGTGCACAAAGGAGCTTCTGCTGCAGTTGAGGGCGGCAGATAAAGATTCGTATGGAAACATGTGGGATATCTCAAGCGCGGGGCACATATCCGCAGGCGATACGTCCTTGACTACTGCAAGGTTCAGCTGCTGGCCCTCTCTTGCTGTCTTGCAAATTCAAACCTTGCCATCCTTCCTTTTAGTAGCTCCCTTGCATCCATCCTTTGTGAACAAATCCTTTTGGTTTTTCAAGTGCTGGCCTGAAAACAATCTGTAAGAGTATGCCGGGAGCAATGCGCCTGCAAAGTAATTCTCAACGAGCTACACTTCACGTGAATCCTTATCGTCATTGTTTTGGTCTTCTTTGCTATGGCTTGGGTTAGTTTGTTTGACAACATTTTCGTGGGTATGCTCATGACATTTTAGGTGGCAAGAGAGAGAGAGAGAGAGAGAGAGAGAGAGAGAGAGAGAGAGAGAGAGAGAGAGAGAGAGTTTGCGTCTCTATGCTGAAGTGGACTTGGATGGATGGTTATTATGAGCAGGAAGGTCTGGTCCTGCATTTTTGTAGGAAGTTGAAACTTTATTTCATAGGGGTTCTGTTTCCTCCTTAGCACGGGGAAGAGCTTTTGATGATGTAGCTGTGAGGCCACTGCCTCTATGAGCCCCAATCGGCCCCTTTTTGGGAGCCTGTCGGCCGCCCTAAGTGAAGGCAGGCTCAATGGGGCCCCTCAGGGTCTTATTTCGGCCTCTGCACAACGAAGGAAATTCAGGCAGTTGCGCAGCGCCAGTTGGTTGAGAAAACCCGGGCCCTGGGCCTCCTGTGTGAATGAATGGAAAGCAGGCCCTGGGCTGGATACGGGTACTGGGCCAAACACAATGCCAAGGGCAGTTGGGTGCATGCAACCGCCTCAGGCCCAGGCCTGTTCTCGAACATTTGGCCTCAGGCTACCAGGGCCTACTGGAAGCTTCCTGGGACTGGACGCAGGCAGGCCACTTCGATATATCAAAGGGCCTGCCTCCTCATTCGGCATTCGGGTGCTGGCTGCATGCTGCGCTATTTGCTGGCTGGCGCCCACGCGCTCACGGGCGAGCAGGGAAGGAGCAGGCAGCCATAGCCGAGCTGCGCTGCTGTGAGCTGGGTGTGGCGCAGGGTGGTCCTTGGGTGCTAGTGGCATCTGTGTGTTGGGGAACGAGGTTGTGAGTGTGGCGAGAGACATACCTGGTGCTGGAAGCGTGCGACATTGGTCGCTGTATGCCCGTACTTCGGGAAAGCTGTTGTCGTCAACATTCGGCATTGTAGTCTAGGATAGATAGGATCTGCCATCTGTAGTCTGGGCGCCGAGCGCCAGATAGGATATCAACATTGGTTCTTCATTGATGATGATGATGAGACATTACCAGCATTGTGAGCTCTTGGTGTCTTCTTATTTGGTGAAACTCGTGATTCAATTCTGCTGTTGGTTCGAGGTCACGACTATCTGGTCTTGTGAATATGATGCTGTTTGATTGCTGAAGTTCGCTATTGCTCATCTTCCTTGCATAGCCCTCGTGGAGGACAATTTTGCTTGAAACGGCTGAGGTTTGTGCACACACTAGGTGAGCAGTGTGGACACATTTGAATTGAGTTACGCCCTTGAAAGTAGTAGTGTGAATGTGGCCTGAAGGTTGTATTCCTCCTCATTGTTCTGATTGCAGGCGTGAACTCAACGAGGAATTGGGAGTAACGTTGCCTGCGTCAGCATTTGAATACTTGTTCAAATATCTTGACCAAAGGTGAGAGTATTGGCTTTGGGTGCACAGCTTTCACGTTATGGAATGTGTTTTACGATGCTGGCCAATTTCGAAGTGCACAATCATCAGAAAGTACAGTGCCGTCCAATTGCAAAAAGAAATGAATGAACTTGAGAGGAGAGAGAGGGAAAGAAGAAGAAGAAGAAGAAGAAGAAGAAAGAAAGAAGAAGAAGATGTACTCCAGCATAGACCAATGATAAAGCTCTTCTTCTTCACGAACCACTCTCCTCCTCCTTATCTCCTCCCCTCTTATTCAAACAAGAAATAACAATGATAATGTTGAATGGCTGAACCAGACAGGAGGGACAGGCTCCGGGACAAGAGCAGGCAGATTTCAAGAGGGACTACTGCATCTCCTTCAGCGAATGGACTAAAGTGGACCAGAGCGTGCCGTTGCGATCTCCGGCAGATTTTCCGGACCCGTTCCCCCCCCATCAGCTTTCCTTGGTGGACATGCGGTGGTACGGCGCAGAATAGACCGTCAGCATGGATGTGGCATCAGCAAGACCAACAGAGGACAGAGAATGCTCTAGAGATACATGCAGTAACCGACAGCCCATAGCTGAGAGGAGCACACAGAGGCAGAAGGGACATGTAGATGCCACACAGAAAAAGCTTAGCTGCAACAGGCTAATTTAGGGAGGGGGTATCCTTCCCGACGGAAGCAATCAATGCCGCTCACTCGGGCCTCTCAACCTTAATGGGGAGGAGCGTGGGTTATCCTTGTACTCCTTATTGACTTGCCGGGGTAATAGGAACCGGACTGTCGTTCCCCAGAATGGCAGGAGCCAGAACCGAGAGGTTCTGATTTTCCCAAAAAATAAAATAAAATCAATGTCCGAATCCCTCTTCTACTGCAGGCACAACATGAGATCCACCATAGCCATGGCCATCCTTCCGCTTCCTCTTCATGTAGCCCGAGGCTATGGCGGACTACTGAGGGCCCTACCCTCCTGTCCAAAGGACAACCCAAAGCAGCTATATCGCTGCCTTCCTGTGCAAAGGACAACACAAAGCAGCTATGCCGCTGCTCACTAAGCCGCCATGCCTGACTCTGCCCGAGCTTCCTTGGTACGGCACTACCCCAACTGGGGCCTTCCAGATGCAGCGCGTATCAAGGTGATGAAGATGGTGTCCACCATAGCCAGGTAGGTACCTCGCCACTCTCCTCCTTGGTTCTCTTCTACCTCCTCCTCCTACCGGTAGAGCTCCACCATAGCCAAGGTGAGAGCTCCCGGCCTTCTCCTCCCAGCAGCGCTGTAGTACCCAGCGCTCCTCCAGCCAGCACTCCAGCAGTGTGTTGCCAAACTTGCACACTGAAGAATGAGAGGCTGGGCTCTTCGCTCAGCCTCAAGATATAGCGGCCTACGTGCCTCCTGGGCGGTGACTTCCAGGCTTCTCAGCCTCCCAAGCAACTGGTACCTCCTCCCTTTCGGAGGGAAACATCATTGCAGACTCTGATATTGCCCGTACAGGCCCTAGACTCAGACTGGATGGACTGGTACCCGCCTAGACCTAGCCTACCGCTATTGGGCCTCCAAAAATGCCAACTTTGTCTTCTTCTGCTCGGCCTCGAGTACCTGGCACATCTACTTCTACTGGGTGCGGTACCGGCCTACCTGCTACTTGAGTGTTTTTCCGCTGCTCTAAGTGTCGCAGGCCTCTTGCTCCGCCACTTGAGTGTTTTCCCTGCTGCAACCCTTAATGTCACGGCCACAGGTAAGTATCGGCCTTACGGGCCGCCCAAAGCAGCAATATCCTTGCGGGTCACACACACACTCATGCCGACAAGCACTCAGACAGGCACGCAGGTTACCAAGCACGCACACACACACAGACTTAGAAAACTCAGCTGAATGCGGGAATCTCAGTAAGGCATCCATTCCATGCCAACTTTGTCTTCTTCTGCTCGGCCTAGAGTACCCGGCACATCTACTTCTACTGCGTGCGGTACCGGACTACCTGCTACTTGAGTGTTTTTCCGCTGCTCTAAGTGCCGCGGGCCTCTTGCTCCGCCACTTCAGTGTTTTCCCTGCTGCAACCCTCAATGTCACGGCCACAGGTAAGTACCTGCTCTACGGGCCTCCCAAACAAGCGAGTACCCTTGCGGGTCACACGCACACTCATGCCGACAAGCACTCAAACAGGCACGCAGGTTACCAAGCACACACACACACACACATACTTAAAAAACTCAGCAGAATACAGGAATCTCAGTAAGGCATCCATTCCATCGGCAGAACTCAAAAATCAGCAGTGTTCTCAGTCTGTGTTATGGCGGGTCATTATACTACCCCCCGCTCAAGAGCGAGGTCCCTTCGAGCGAGTAACTCACGCAGTCCCTACATAACGCATCATAAGCGTAAATGACAAGGAGAGATCGGGTATGTTCCGTAGGATCGAGGGTAGCGGTGAATTTAGGTTCTCAGAGGCAATCAATCGTTCATATGCTTTGAAGACTCGTGGGGCACTCTGCAGCAAGTCTTTCCTAGAAATCTAGTAAAAATCATCTAATGGGTGATACAGAAAATGAACTTTGTATTGTCTGTTTTTCCCTTTTCCACCGTGTTCGACAATTCTATCAATCTCGTGACTGCCATTGATTGCACGAGGGATCATTGATTCTCGATACATAAAAGTTTCAGGTAATACATACGGAAACAATTTCGATGTGTGAAAGACTGGGTACGTGCGCAGATGAGCAGGCACGTCGATCGTATAAGAAGAACCGAATGAATCATCCCCTACTTGGTTCAGCACCTTCCACTGACCGTAATACTGAGGAAAAAGCTTTCATGATACACCTTCTTCTTCAGAAAACTTGAAACATTTTGACCCAGATGTAGCTTCCCACTGTGAAAGGTGCAGGCTGGCGCTTCTTGTCAGCATGCTTAATCATGGCACTGCGTTGCCTTTCCATAGCTGCAACAGCAACTTTGAGCAAGCGACTTAGTGCTGTAGCCTGGCTGCCCAGGTGTTAGGTCAGGTGTCGAATCAGGAAACAGATAGGATAGGGGATTGCGAATTTGGCACCCGAGGTGCAACTGATTAGGTGTCATCCCGGTGGATGAGTGTATGGAGTTGTTGTACAACCCTTGCACAATCGGCAATTCCTCATCCCAAGAGTTCTGATCAGGCAAAATTAGAGCTCGGAGAAGTTGAATTTCAGTCTGGTTGATCTCCTTGGCCAATCCATTGGCTTCAGGATGTCGACCAGACGTCATCTTGAGTTTGATATCATAGATCTGGGAGGTAAAGTCCTTCCAATCTGCACTTATGAACATAGTGTCCCGGTCACTCACAATAGTCTTCTGGGGACCACACTGCAGAATGTACCTCTTCTTAAACTCCCCGATCACAAGGTCAATTGGGGCGTGAGGTGGCAATGGAATCAAATTCTGAAATTTTGAAAAGCGGTCAACGATCACCATTACTTGCAAATATCCGTTCCTGCTCTTCTTCCCCATGTCCGTGAAGTGAATGGAAACAGACTCACCCGGGCCATCAGGGATAGGAAGAGGATGCAGCAGCTCATAGGGCTTTTGCCGAGATGGTTTGATGCATTGACAAACTTGACACTAAACCACAAATGTTTTTGCCATTCCTTTCATCCCAGGCCATACAAACTTTTGCAATAGGCTTCCATATGTCTTCTCAAAACCGAAGTGAGTACTCTCGCTCCGACAAGGAGCCAAGTCCAAGAAGTGAGTACAGATAGGCACACACAATCGATCGTACTTTCCGTAACGTCGGAAGAGCAAACCTTCACACTCGTGGAAATCAAGCTAACTGTTAGGGTCAGCTTGGATCTTCTCAAGGATGGGACTGAGTACCGGGTCCTTGGCAGTATGCTCAACTGGTTGCTGCCCGTCGAAAGGCAAAGGAAAATCGGGAAACTGCGCCCCGCCGGAGTGAATTGACGACACTCTTGATGCCTTTGGAACCGGTCGCTTCGCGGGTGACCGTCCTTCGTTCCAAGGCACATGCGGAAGTCGATAGCCGTCCTCTTCCATATTCTTATGAGGATTATGCTGCCCAGCTCATTCCTAAGCTGGGTACTCATGCTCAAGGACAAGACGTGTGTGCGGCATCTTCCCCGTCCGACAGCGGCAACTTATCGTTTGAGTTCAACATAGAGATTCTTCACGGGATTCGGCGCGCGAGTTCAACATAGAGGTATTGGACCTGCTCACGTCCGAGGATTTCGCATGGCTTCCTCTCCCGACCACGGGCCGTTTGCCGGGACCGCAATGCGCAACATTATGCGCTAATCTTCACACGTATCTATCGTTCTATGCACCACCAACTTCGTCGGTGAGGACGAAGCTGCGATGGGGGACATCCTTGCGTATGTTACCAAGGTGGCCCGCGAGTTTCGCAAGCAGCGGTACGATGACAACGATGCACCGCTCCTCTATGTCCGCATCCAAGTTGGGCAAGCATCCTGCAACACTTTGGTGGATAGCGGCGCGTCTCGCAATTTCATGAGTCAAGCCTTTTTGCAAAGGGCTGGCCTTGGCGCACAAGTTCGGAGGAAGGCAAACCCGACGGCGATCAAGTTGGCGGACGGAAGGATGCAACAACTTATTGACCGCTATATCGAGGCCGTACTGGTGTATTTCGCACCTCATGCATGCGAACCAGTGACGTTCGACATTTTGGACACGGACTTTGACATTATTTTGGGAATGCCTTGGCTTGCAAGTGCGGATCACACGGTCAACTTCCACCGGCGGACTCTTACCGTCCGGGACGCCTTCGGCGTCGAAGTGTCGTGTACTGTTCCTCTCCCGTACCATTCGATTCGATGCCAAGTGGTGACGGCCAAGTCGTTCCGGGCTACTTGCGCTTACGAGCAGCCCGACGAGATAGACCTATGCTTCCTACAGACCGTCGCGGTAGCCGATTCTTCCCCCACGGACTTGTCTTCGGACCCCTGTATGGTGTGGTTGCTTGACGAGTTCACCGACATCTTCGAGTCA